GTTACGTCATGTACGAGCATCGAGAATCAAAAACTGCAAGCTTTTCAGAAAACAATGACAGGACTTTCTTTTCAACCTATATATAGTAGGAATAGCCATCCGCTCTGCTATGCCTCTCTCCCACGCTTTCTCTCATGCTTTTTCGGCCATTTGTGCTCTTTTACGCCAAATGTTAAAAAATCAGATGTGAAACGTGGAATTTTTGGAGTGATTTCGGCTATATACTTTGTTTACTTCACAAGTGTGCCTTTAGCACTTCCATCGTGTTCATACTTCGCTATCCCTAGCTGCATTCGGCAAAGGCAAACTCCACGATAGTGCGAACACTCTCAGTTTTGTGGGATGCAAAAGGGCTCATCTACTGTGGGCTGCTGAACAAAGGCAAGGCTGTCACAGCTCCTGTCGTGCGGAACAATTCCAACAGTTGGCCAACGTACCAACAGTAGCGTCAAGGATGTATAGTCTGTTACGTCGCAATCGGTCGGAGGCGGCGAGAAGAGGGTGGGATGGCCCGCCTCCGGCTGTCTTGTTCTACCAATGGTGTTTGACCAGTGATTAATTTGGAAAGGTAACAACCAATGGTGAGAATGCCATGGGAGGGTCAGTACATCCCTCTTGAATTGACACGACTGATCGCGATGGTATCAACTGCACCTGCGTGCAAGTTTACAAGTTCCGCGTACAAGTTTCTTCCCAGACACGCCTCAAAGTCCCAGACCTCAGCCGGCGTAACGTTGTTCATTGATGGCATTCCCCGAACCTTACGCCTTCTGTGTATCACTTGCTCCAGCCCGCGTTTCCTGCGTCGCATGTAGTATGAAGGCGAACAAATAGAATAGGGACAGAATGACAAAAAGGAGCACGTCCGACCCACTCGAAGTATGGTAAATATAAAGAACTGTAAGAAATCTCACTGTGTTGTCAGCGGTGAGAATGACGATGCCTCTACCACTTCCTTCGATTACGTTTGTTGAGAACATGGCCACATTCTTTGACTCTAGCGGATTATTGTGGGTGAATTCTGGCGTTCGCGATTGCGGCTCCGACTCTCCAGTGAGCGATGAGTTGTCCACCTAAACTTTTTCATGAAGTCCGAATTTAAGACTGATAGGCACTATCTCACTATAAATACCCCAAAATCTCAAGAAATTTGTTCTTTTTTCTGAAACGTAGACTGGTATTCCGGTACCCTGGTCGGGAATATAACATCCATTTCCCTGACGCCATTAGGCGTCAGCGCAAAAGACCACATAATATTGGTAATCAGGGCACCGAATAAGCGCTAGTAGTTGGAGGAAACGAAGCCCTTCTGATGGGGGTTGTAGTTGTTGAATCTTCCCACACAGTGATAGCTCTTGGGCGTGCCAAGAGGTTTTGCGTGAACAAATATTTCCGCGTTACCTGGTGCCATATGATACGGATTATACAGGGGCGCTCAATAAAAAAAGACACGTGGCCGAGACAATATCAATAGGATTACGCAGTCCACGAGAGACGTGGGTACGCAAGTATCAGGGCGGAAGGTACCCAAGATGTTTCTCGATAAGCAGGAGCAGGCTCTCGTCCTCCACCCTCATGTACAGCACAAAATATGAAGCCATCTCCAATCGCAGCCTTGCTGGAGGCCTATGGAGTTCACATCACCTCCAAACAGCTGCAAACTTCTTGTATCGAGTCACCCATACAGGAAGTTTTGCACACACACCTGGAGACTAGCACTCTTGATCTGGAAGACCCCCAGCATGGAGCAACCGGCAACGTCGCTATAGTCCAGGATATAAACTTCACCACGTCGCCAAAGTGCGGGTTGGTGGTATGGACCGGAAGTTTGCGGAATGGGAAGGCCGATATTTTTTTCGTGTACCCTGTACTGAAAGTGTGTGCTAGCGGTTACATCGAGAAGAATATCCTCCCCACATGTCGTCGCCCGTACTTCTTGGAATTTGTACTGCCCCCAGGATTCAAAAGGTGTCACCCCATGCGAATCAAAGGGCGTTCGAATAGCTTGCCCTACTAAAGACGTGTAGAATCTGAAGAAGACGGGATATCCAAGTGCGTCACCTGACCTAGACTCCCTCGATTACGGGTACGGAAGGAGCTCAACAAAGTGGTCTACAGTGGCCGAAGAATCAACGACCTCACTGAATTCAGGCACCGAATCACGGTCGCATAGCAGTATCTCTCGACCGGCGTATCGTCAGAAGGGCTCTGAGTTCCTGATAGTGTACATGTGTTGTTGATATGATGGATAGAAATGTCCAATCAAAACCAATGAAGTGTTACTCTTGTGCCTTGAAATTGTAATAGGAAAAGTCCGTTTTTTGCACTCCCCTTCCTCCCCTGGGAAGACGTTCGTAAAATTTCGGGGTTGGCTTTTTTTCTTCCGATCTGTTTCTCGCAGATGATCTTCAACCGAACTTTCTGACCAGTGCTACTCAAAAGCTTGCGTTCTGTGGAAAAATGCTGAATTGTTCCCTGTTATCTCTTTTTGGAACCTCGGCATCATGTCAAATTGATTTCCCTCTCCTGCCAAATGAGGTTTTTGGATGGAATCTTTGTTTGGCACGACGTTTCGACCCTTCTTCTACATGTGTAACTGAACGGATAAATTCTTTCAAAGACAACCAGAACAGTTGGCTGGGGCGCGACGTTGTTGCCAACTCATGGCTAGAAAAGGCTGATTGGGCATTCGCCAACGCTCTCTCCTGGCCCTTCCCCAATGACGCTGGCAACAACTCGTTTTTAGCACCCGTGGCGACGCCTCAAGCGCACAGTTTCACGATCTTGCTTTGATGAGGCAATCACAACCGATAGAAATGTCCAATCAGAACTAAATGAATGTAGTACTCATTGAGCCTTAAAGTCGAGGAAGGAAGTATCGTTTTTTTTATGCTCCCCCCCCTCTCTATAGTTCAGCCGACCCCTCCAGGAAGGTTCCTACGGCCAAGCTTCATTGAAGTCCGGGCATTTCTTTACCGGCGTCAACTGTGGGCCGAACAAAGTATCAGAGGCGGGTCGAGTGGGAGGGGGGGGGAGGGGAAGGGTGGATAGGGCGTTTTTTTGCACACTTACAAGTTGCTTTCTGCTAGTTCATGTTAACTAGCAGGTCTCATTTTGGTCAGAACTGTGAACTCTTGTGAAACTGCAAAGTTTTACAAGCGAGCCACTTCTAGTCACAGAAACTACAGATCTTCACAGAGACCTGGAGATTCCTGCGACTAAAGTGGCCTCGCTGTCTGAGCTTTACTGGATACCACGTGTTGCCCCAAACAAGCCCTCTGCCTCTCAACCTTGAACTCACTGACATTTTCTGCTTAACGCTGCTCACGCTAAAACACCATGGAGAGCCTCGGCAGGATGTTCTACAAGGACTCGTAGCTGCTTTCATTGCCTCTGTTTCTCGATTCCACAAGCACCCCAGCCAAGTAGAACAAACCCTATTTTGTGTTCCTCATGCATACACCGAACCATATGATCAGGCCTCTGCTAGTAAAATACTGTTGACACTCTCTAAAAGGTGTTAAAACCATGCATTTCCCGGATTTGTAGTGCAGCATGTCTAGTGAACTCGTAAATAGCATAAGTACTGGTTTAGCTTGAAATCGCGCTCTCAGGGGTAAAGGTCTGCGTTTCATCGCAAGCCCCTACTTGAATCCCTTCCTTTCAGTTCCTGTTCTCTTCATGTATTGGAACACTTACCTTGAGACCTCTGGCTTGAAAAATTCGAATGTCTGCAGGAACCTTGTCACCACCGCCAACTTCGACCACATCTCCAAGTACGACTTCTTCGACCTTTATGTCAACCAATCGTCCATCCCGAATGACCTAAAACTCACTGCTCTAGACAGTACGAAGACTCTAAACTGAATGTAATCTGCTGAAAACTGTACATGCGCCATTGGCGGAATCATATTGGCGAACGAGCTCATGATGTTCCCACTCTTTGCTTCTTGATAGAACGAAAACAGTCCAGTGATGGTGACTACTGTAGCCAAGGTGATGGCCAAATAGAGCTTAAATTGTTTGATTAGTAGTGATGAATAGTATAAGCTTCGTATGCGCGTCGGCAGTCGATCACTTGCGCGTGCGATGCAAGCGACTGTCGTTGCAAAGTCTGAACTCTGCCCAAAAGAGTGCACGAAAAGTCAGAGATGGGGGTTTTGGTGGCGTTGAAATTATCGCACTACATATGCTGCAAGTGCTGCGGCGCTGTAGACAGGGGGGGGGGGGGGGGGGGGGGGGGGGGGGGGGGGGGGGGGGGGGGGGGGGGGGGGGGGGGGGGGGGGGGGGGGGGGGGGGGGGGGGGGGGGGGGGGGGGGGGGGGGGGGGGGGGGGGGGGGGGGGGGGGGGGGGGGGGGGGGGGGGGGGGGGGGGGGGGGGGGGGGCGGCGGGGGGTGGGGAGGGGCGTCGGGGGCGCGGGGGCGGGGGGGCGCGGGGGGTGGGGGGTGGGGGGGGGGGGGGGGGGGGGGGGGGGGGGGGGGGGGGGGGGGGGGGGGGGGGGGGGGGGGGGGGGGGGGGGGGGGGGGGGGGGGGGGGGGGGGGGGGGGGGGGGGGGGGGGGGGGGGGGGGGGGGGGGGGGGGGGGGGGGGGGGGGGGGGGGGGGGGGGGGGGGGGGGGGGGGGGGGGGGGGGGGGGGGGGGGGGGGGGGGGGGGGGGGGGGGGGGGGGGGGGGGGGGGGGGGGGGGGGGGGGGGGGGGGGGGGGGGGGGGGGGGGGGGGGGGGGGGGGGGGGGGGGGGGGGGGGGGGGGGGGGGGGGGGGGGGGGGGGGGGGGGGGGGGGGGGGGGGGGGGGGGGGGGGGGGGGGGGGGTGGATGGGGGGGGTGGGGGGGGGGGGGGGGGGGGGGGGGGGGGGGGGGGGGGGGGGGGGGGGGGGGGGGGGGGGGGGGGGGGGGGGGGGGGGGGGGGGGGGGGGGGGGGGGGGGGGGGGGGGGCTTGGAGCGGGGGGGGGGTAATCTGGCTCCGAGTACGGACGTGAACGGGATTTCCGTCACTTCGAGCTAACGTCGAGTTCACACACTTCCCCAGAGTATTGCAGGACTAGCTAAAACGCCTTTTCACGAACTGCTGAGAGAAATGGCAATGATCTCCCGGCGATTGCCACCACTCCGAGTCAGCATGCCGATTACATCCATCGCTGTTAACTCGTTCACGTCATAACTATGAAGGTAGAAATATAACGAAAAAAGAAGCGCAATGGTTATCACTTGCAGCAAAATATCCTTTCTTCAAGCTCTTCTTGTGTGGTCCCCTCCCACCGCAAGAATGAGCCAGCCTTTCAGACTTCGCGATGAATGCGCGACAACTAGTTGCTTGACGGGAGTAGAGGATCAAACAAAGAGATAGCGCGCCGGCTAATATTCCTGCTCTTCCCATTCCCTCAGAACACTAGCTACCGAGCGCCGATTCGACGATAAAGGCCTGCAGCTGCAAACGCCTACCCTCCTTCTATCAAGTATACTTTTCAGAACGAGTGAAACTCTTTCTTGCGAGATGTTGCACGACTTCGCTTATTCACGATTAGCGGCCGCCGATCAGTGCTCGACCATGGATTAGCCAATGTGCCTCATTGAACGCTAAGGTTCTACGGTCCCTGCAGTATACTTGTTCTGCATGAACTCTTTTAATTAAAGGCAGTTGGCAGAGATGGTTCCTAACTTACTATACAAGCGCCTCACTTGGCCTAAAATGCTAGTTAGGGCGCTGTATAGTGGGGGAAATGGCGAAAGAACGGAGTGAAACGGTCAAAATCCTGCGAAGAAAAAGCCTTCGTCCTCAGTGACTTGTAAATCGATCGGACGAGTTTCCCAAAGGCCAATCATTACCAATCACCGCCTACGAAGATGAGGCCTGCCATACGTTACCCGTGTAAGGCCCAGCGTAAAACATAAAAATTAAACGACTCGAGCCACCACCTCGTCGCTTCATATCAGTCCCTTCGCTCATCAATTTGTTAGCAGGATGAAGAATACGATCTTCAGGAACGGATCGTCCATTTGTGGCGGGCGCGGCGTTGGCGGGCGTTTGGGACGTAATGTTGTGGCTTGATAGGGCCCTTATAAGGGCACCTTCCTCGGGGAAACCGCTATGCAGCGCCTGCCCAGGGTCGCGGAATTCTATCCTGCCAGGAGTATTGATCCTAGTCGTCTTGGGGGATTATCGTGCCAACTGCCTTTAGCAATTTGAAACAAAATCTAATGGCTAGTACTCTCGGCCCTACCAGTCTTAGAACATGGCTGAAAACGGAAGCGAACGCTGTCTATGTTAACGAAGCAATGACATGAAAAACCCCGCGTGCTTCATAATAAGATGACGGTTTCACCAGTTTCTCGCGCGATGCCGCCGTGCTCCCTCAAAGTCCATCTCCCTCTAGGTAGCAGGCTCCTGCCGGTAAATTGTATAATTATATTCTGCGTTCATTCTGGGTGCACTCTCAACATTGATGTTGATTGGGATGCGGGCAGAGCTAAAGACTCGATTTCCTCTAGGTTCTTGGAGTTCTTTAGATGCTGTGGCTTCATTCAATATGTCACTACGCCCACACGCGGAGAGTCCACTTTGGACATCGTATTATCATTCATTATTCATTATCGAATGCTCCTATTGTTAAGAACGTTTCGGTACTGCCACCTTTTGCAGCTTCTGACCACAGTGTTATTACTTTTGAAGTGATTTTTCCCTCATCCATGCCCCATAAACTTCCATTGCCCAATTTCGCCAGAGCCGATTATTCCGGGTTATCCAAGTATTTCTACTCTGTGAACTGGTGGAACATTTTTGATGGGTACGCTTCCTGTGATGACATGTACAAGAGATTTTGCCGCATTGTCTACGCGGGTCTAGCTCGGTATGTACCCTTCAGTTTCATCGACGTGCCGCAAAAGAAATATCCGAAACACATAAGTAATTTACTAGCCCAGAAATCGCGACTTTATAATGAGACAAATGGAGATCTGTTGTCGAGCCTTCAGTACAAAAAGGTGTGTCGAGAGCTTGATCATCATTTAAGAAAATACTTAGGTAATAGAGAAAGGAGAGTCAGTAAGTGTCCTCATAAGAATGCTATTTTCGCGTTGATAAAGCAGAAAATCAAGTCACACTCAAGTATTCCTGTACTTGCTGATGAAAGTGGAAACCGTTTTTTAACAGATAACCAAAAGGCTGAAGCGCTCGCACAGTTCTTCTCATCTGTCTTTTCAGCTGAGAAAGCAAGTAATCCCAGTGTAGGTCCCACAACTCGCTGTTGCTCGAATATTCTTAGTGAATGCATAGTAAACAAAAAAGTCGTTTATAAAACATTGAGATCTTTCAAAAGCTCTACTTCTATTCCTTTCGATGGCATTCCTCAAATTGTGTACAGATACTGCGCCGCCTCTCTATGCACTCCGATCTGTATGATACTCAATGCATCTCTCATGTTCAGTGAAGTACCGCTGAGCTGGAAGGAGTCCATCATTACTGCTATCCCAAAGACACCTGAGCCAAAGCTTGTCTCATCCTTCCGCCCTATTAGCATCACTGCGCCGCCGGCCAAAGCCCTTGAGAATACTACGTGGGAGAATCGTAAAGCATTTGACTAAGTACAACCTAATTCCCCCGGAGCAGCACGGATTCATTAGCGGTGCATCCACAAGCACTCTTATGGCAGACTGTATGTTTATTGGAGTCTTGCTATCAACGATGAAAGGGCGTTGACATAATCTATTTTGATTTGTCCAAAGCTTTTGACAAAGTGAATCATGAAAAACTTCTTCAGAAACTGCGGCATTTAGGGATCGAAGGCTCCATCCTCAGCTGGATCCGTTCCTATCTGGAAGATAGACATATGTGTGTAAGGGTGGGTAACAGTTTCTCGCGGAGCTACCCTTGTAGTAGTGGAGTTCCACAAGGAGGTGTCTTGTCACCTCTGTTGTTTTTGGCCTACACCTACGACCTACCTGCGTACCTCAATACCCACCCACTTGTAAAAACCAAGATGTATGCTGACGACATCAAAATTTACGGTGCTTATGACAATGATAATTATGAATGCGTGCACCAAGCGTTGACTCAATCTGTATGCAACATGATGGAATGGGCTACCGCTTGGGGTATACCTGTAAATTTTACGAAAACATGTGTAACTTCCATTGCGCGAGAAGCCAGACGCATGCACCATACACCGTCAACGGTATTTCTCTCAGTACTTCAAATGAAGTTCGAGACCTTGGTTTTCTCATAAATTCTGATCTCGATTTTTCACATCATATTGATGCTGTTGTCAGGAAGGCTTTCGCCGCTCTCTTCGTAATATTCAGAAACATTCGACTAAATGATCCCTCGGTTCTGTTGAAGCTCTATAAAGCATACGTGGTCCCCATACTTGAGTATGGCTCGCAGATATGGAGCCCTCATTCCAAAAAATTTCAGGCAAAAGTTGAGAAGGTCCAGCAAACTTTCACTAGAATTTTAATGTACCGATGTCATCCCAACCCGACATATCCGCGAGGTTTACCCAGCTATAAGGAACGCCTCAAGCTTTTCAACCTTAAGTCATTACTATATAGACGAGTGTTCAATGATATTTTGTTCTGCTTTAAGTTACTGAAAGGAGATTTAAGATTGACGCCTAGTAAGTATTGGACTTTTAGACCAAGTAGGGGCCGCATTTCTTCACTGTCATTACAATGTCCTAACTTAGGCAGGACTCAGCGATCCAAAGTTTTCAATTCACTTTTTTTCCGTGGAGCAAGGTGGCTTCAGTCGCTGCCATCAGAGCTGCAGAAGGCGTCAAGTACCTTGGTTTTCAAGAGGAAACTTAAGGAAGTTGACATTCCGACTATTGTGGGCATTCAAATTTATTGAAAGTATCGACGGTCTCCGCTTGTGAGTATTTGTGTTGCCAAGTTTGTTGATGTTCTGGTTATTTTTCTTTGTGTCGATTTGTTTTGTAACTTATCTGTTTCGCTCATAATGTAGCGCACCCGTGTGTGCATGATAAATAAATAAATAAATAAATAAATAAATAAATAAGACAGTTCGAGGTATCTGACGCATCTTTTGTCTACAAACGGCCGAATTTCGCTTCCAACAAAGCATTCGTAGCGAGTTAAAGATAAGTTTACTTACTGTCCGCATGCTTCAGTCCTCACAGCGCTTCGCAATGCCCAACGCATTAGGTACAAGTGCCGTGCCAAAGTGTACCTGCCACATTGCTTGAGACAATTATTTCTCCCCGCTATACCCCAAGATCAGCGGTCGATGTCCTATACAGTAGCTATTTCGATAGGGTGAACACTGCTGGTCTGTTGACTCAGCGAGCACTTCGATCAGTTCGATTAGTTCAATTTTTTTGCCAAGAAAAAAACTCAGATCTTTGGAAAAATGGGGTGGATAGAGGAAGGAGCCTATTCAAGGGGACACAGAATTGAGGGAGCTTGTTTTGGACCGCCACTCTCTCATTCCAATAGATGTACCCTCGCATACGGCCCATTAGAATCGCTGGAGGTTCTATAACAGTCGATCAATCATTACCAAGCCATACATTGTCAGCTTTCGTATCCTCGCCATATTCCTGCTTCTCCATGAAATACCCAACAAGGGAAGCTAGTGAAGCAATCCAGAGAAGCATGTTGAAGCCTCCTGAATGAAAACTTTGTACACATTGTTTACTCCATTATATACACATCTTCTTGGAGACACCATATATGCGCCTTCAGCTAGTTAAAAGGTGTTCCGAGTTTGAGAAGTTTGGGTTCGTCAGTATTTCATTGTTCCCAAAATCATTTCAACCCCATGAGCGTTCATAGTGGTGATTACCAGTAGTTCCATGGTGTAGCGAAGGAGGATGTCTCATACGCGGCATTCGCACCAGGGTCTGGATGTGCTTCTACGTTCACTTCAAGTCTGGGAGGTGGACTGATTTCTGTTTGTCAGTGCAACTTGGAACTCGCGTCACACATCCCATTCCGAAGCAAACCACCATGGTCGTCGAAATTAAGTAAATGACAGGCGCCGTTGCGTCGGCATGCCTTGGGCTGCGTTCATACCTTGCGGCAGCTACCACCAGCAACGAGTAGCGTCAGGAAGGTAGGTAAAGTATCTATCTGGCTACCAGCAGCGTTCATTAGCGTCCACCGGCGACCAGCAGCGACCG